AAGGTTTCGTTTTTTTAAAATATCGCACAAAGTACTTCACAAAAAATTATTGTATGAGAGAGGACATGAAGTGACAGTGTTTTATGGGTTAATTCCGTCCTAGATCTCCAATCAGAGGCCATATAAACCTACAGCTCTGTTCCTAAGCCTGTTCCTGGGTTGATAGCATGCTGATAAACTCTGATTTATAATATGTGTGTGTGTGTGTTTTGTGGTCCATCCTGCTATCAGACACACCAGGACATGGCTTACCAGCCTGGCTTTGTGATGAATGGGAGTTCCAGCACTGTCGGAACATTGTTGCAACAGGTCATAAGGCTGTCACGGAACAGGTCAAGGCCACAGTGGATACATGATGTCACACCGTCCTCATTTCCCTATGCGTTATAGTCTGATTAATATTGTTCTATGTAGTTGTCAAATCAACATCACATCAGCATATATGCACATCAGCAAAATATAACTATAGCTTCCTCCATCCTGATGTTCCTTAATTTGACCATGAGAAAAGAGAAGCCCCTGTATGGTTCCCCAGTCCAGTGAGGATGTTGGATTGTTTTGGATGTTGTGTCATTCTTTTTTTTTCTTTGGGGGTTATTTTTTGGTATTCCTTTCTGTGCGGTTTTAAAAAGGTTTTTTGTGGTAACACGCCGTGCAAACGAGGGTTTAGAGAAAAGAACCGCAAAACCCAGGGGTGAAGGTTTGGGGAAATCCCCTCCTCAGTACGGTGGTTCGAACGGATTTTTTACTTGAAATAGCCCCTTGAGATATGTGTGTGGGTGTGTTTTTTAACAGGTTGCCTTAATGCTGGTTAATTATTAAACATTGATATGATATTGTAAAGGCTGTCTCATTAACCCATAAACAGGTGTGGTTCCTACGTAAATGGGGCCACCTGTCCCCTTTAATACACGAGGAAGATAAATACTGAACTCAAGCTTCCGCTCCCCAATAAACCACCTAAATGATGGTGGAGAATTTCCATAATGATAGATAAACGGCGAAGGAGGGGAGAAGAAAAGAGAGAGAGACGGAAGACCAAGAAAATACGATGTAGAAGAGAGACAAGCAGAATTATGCGCAGAGAGATAAGATCGACAAAGGATATATCGCCTTTTTAAATTCGGACTCTTTCCCCCGGGGCAAAAATTCTATCTTTCTCTCGCCCACCTTCCCCTCCCACCACTCTCTCTCTCTTTTCTCGGGCTTCCTCCTTCCACTTCGTCCCTCTAACTCGAATTCCCTCCTCTCTATTACGAGAGATCTTTGGGGTTGAAGAAATAGAGAACATTATAAGGGCTTGCAGCATGTGGGGAAGTCAACAGGTACTTTTCACCTGCCCCCTTTTCTCTATCTCTCCTCTTTCTTCCTAAAAACTCTTCTCTCTCTGAGGATATTTACTACAGTCTGTCAAACAAACAACTTAAGGACCCCTGACTCAAAGACAAAATGCCCCCCAAATCTCATTGATCAGTTAAAAATCTGTCGTTACTAAATTCAGTTAAGGTTTCTTTACGATTTTTTTCCTGTGTCATCTTAAACCTGCTGTCCCACCTGCTGTAACCTGGTTAACCTTTCGGGTCCACCGCTGTCCATTTTTGTCCACCTGTCATTTTGACCGGGCTGTCAACTGCCATGGTATGTTGTTTGTTTTGAAATTTTGAATCCAAACTAACATATTATATTTGTTTTGCCTTCGATCTTTTATAAAGTGTTTTAAAATGTGTTATGTTGAGGTTTTTTTGGTTTTTGGAGACGTAATTCTCAAATCAAACTACAGTATGTTCCACTTTCAGTTATGGAACAACGCAAGTCTCACGTGTGACATGATGCTGTGTCTCGCTCCTGGTATTTAAAGGATGTGTTTTCTGATTTCCAGATAGTGTCTCGCTCCTGGTATTTAAAGGATGTGTTTTCTGATTTTCAGATAGTGTGTGTCGACATGCTGGCTACCCTGGAGACGGTGAGAGTGAGTTTATTTTATACCTCAAGAGAGTGTGTTTTCTATTGTAAAAAGGGTCAGGGTGGTCCGTTTCTGCTTCTGATTCTGGATCCTTCTATCATCCTTCTGCCAAACTAGACTGACTGACGGACTCACAACTTCATTTGGTTGACTAATAGACTGACTGACAGACTGACAACTTCATTTGGTTGACTAATAGACTGACTGACAGACTGACAACTCTGTTTTACGCAGCTAGAATAATTATAAATATTTCCAAACAGTAAGTCTTTATTGTCTGTGTGAGAGGGACCAACACTTGCATATATTTGCTAGTCAAAGCAGACAGCGGGGTCAAAGGTATGTGTGTGTCTGTGTGTCTGTTTGTATGTATATGTGTGTGTGTGTCTGTGTGTGTGTATGTACATTTACATTTTAGTCATTTAGCAGACGCTCTTATCCAGAGCGACTTACAGGAGCAATTAGGGTTAAGTGCCTTGCTCAAGGGCACAGCAACAGATTTTTCACCTAGTCGGCTCGGGGATTAGAACCAGCTACCTTTCGGTTACTGGCACTACGCTCTTAACCACTAAGCTACCTGCCGCCCCTGTATGTATGTATGTGTGTGTGTGTGTGTGTGTGTCTGTGTGTATGTATGTGTGTGTGTGTGTGTGTGTGTGTGTGTGTCTGTGTGTTTGTATGTGTGTGTGTGTGTGTGTGTGTGTGTGTGTGTGTCTGTGTGTGTGTATGAATGTGTGTGTGTCTGTGTGTATGTATGTGTGTGTGTGTCTGTGTGTGTGTGTATGTATGTGTGTGTGTGTCTGTGTCTGTGTGTGCGTATGTATGTGTGTGTGTGTGTTTCTGTGTGTATGTATGTGTGTGTGTGTGTGTGTGTGTGTGTGTGTGTGTGTGTGTGTCTGTGTCTGTGTCTGTGTCTGTGTCTGTGTCTGTGTCTGTGTCTGTGTCTGTGTGTTTCTGTGTGTGTGTGTGTGTGTGTGTGTGTGTGTGTGTGTGTGTGTGTGTGTGTGTGTGTGTGTGTGTGTGTGTGTGTGTGTGTGTGTGTGTGTGTGTGTGTGTGTGTGAGAGAGAGATTGTGTAGTCAAAGTAGCGAGCACGCTGTTGTGCGTCTTCAGAACAACAACAAACTGCCAGTCATTATTTACAGAACACTACCGACAGGTTCTGGTCCATAAACTACTATTAAATATATACTACTATGTATTACTAAACAATAACTACAGAACACTACCGACAGAACTTTTACAAGAGAGACCAGGGCCTGTATTCACTGAAGTGTCTCAGAGTAGGAGTTATTTGATATTGGAGAAGGAATCCCCTGAAAAGTGTCTTGTCAGTTATAGAATACATAAAGCAGGCAGTGATGGGAGGAAATATCACATGCTGAAGTGATCCCCATTCTTACAGTTCTTGTTGCAGTCATTGTTGCAGTCCTTGAAGTTATATTCCAGTGATTGTGTTCTGAGTTTTTTTTTTTGAGCTAGAAGATGTATATAAACACAGAGTGTATAAAACATTAGGAACATTAGGACAGAGATTGACCAGGTGAATCCAGGTCAAAGCTAAGATTCCTCATTGATGTCACCTGTTAAATCCACTTCAGTGTAGATGAAGGGGAGGAGACAGGTTAAAGAAGGATTTTTAAGCCTTGAGACAATTGAGACATGGATTGTGTATGTGTGCCATTCAGAGGGTGAATGGGCAAGACAAAATATTGAAGTGTCTTTGAACGGGGCATGGTAGTAGGTGCCAGGCGCACTAGTTTGAGTGTGTCAAGAACTGCAACGCTGCTGGGTTTTTCACGCTCAACAGTTTCCCGTGTGTGTCTAGAATGGTCCACCACCCAAAGGACATCCAGCCAACTTGACACAACTGTGGGAAGCATTGGAGTCACCTTGAACGCTTTCGACACCTTGTGGAGTCCATGCCCCAACGAATTGTTCTGAGGGCAAAAAGGGGTCCAACTCAATATTATATATATATATATATACACAGTATGTATACGCTGACCATACTGTCTCCTCTCCTCCAGATGGGTTATATCCCAGGCTGGTCCGGTCCTGCCCAGACCCCAGTAGAGGTGGACCTGGAGGTCATAGAGGAGTACCTGAAGGAACACTCCTTGGACGTCCAACACACTCACACTCCTCCTACGCCCCCTGCCACGCCCGCTCAGCTAACACACACACACTCAAACCAACACCACGAGACCAGCATCATAGGTGAGTGTGTGTGAGTTGAATGATTGATTGAGTGGTTAATTTACTTAATTGAACGACTGATTTATACAGTTGTTGATTGCCTTTTTTGATTGATGAATAAACTGATTGCCTGATTGATTGGTTGATTATTTGATAAATTGATTACCTGATTGCCTGATTGGTTAATTAGTTGATTTATTGATTGATGTATTGTCTCTCCAGAGAACAGCTGGTCTGGTCAGTATGCGTATGAGTGGCATTATGACTCTAATACTCCTAATAAGGAATATGAAGAACAGGCTCCGCCCACAGAATGGCCTAGTCCTCATGGCAACCACTGGGTGAGTACTATGAACAATACCCTCTCACACTGTAGGAGCCATAATGCAGAAAGTAGCATTTAGCTATTTTAAGTTATTACAATACAATTATTATTTATGTATATTTGCACATTTGTATAATGTTAATATTTAGAACATTCCATTATGGAGATTTGTAAAGGAAAACCTGCGTGATGTCATTTGCCTGACGTTATTGCTTAGCTCATTAGGCACGAAGAAGTCGATGGAGCAATATCGTTTTTGACCGTGTTAAATTCATTTTCTTTGTAAACTTTTCATTACTATATCAAAGGTCAAACGGAGAAGCTTTTGAATGTTTTTATTGGCGTCAGACTCACTGCTTTTTACATTGACTACTGTGGTGACTACTGAGGTGACTACTGTGGTGACTACTGTGGTGACTACTGTGTGACTACTGAGGTGACTACTGTGGCGACTACTGAGGTGACTACTGTGGCGACTACTGAGGCGACTACTGAGGTGACTACTGTGGCTACTACTGAGGTGACTACTGAGGTGACTACTGTGGTGACTACTGAGGTGACTACTGAGGTGACTACTGTGGTGACTACTTAGGCGACTACTGTGGCGACTACTGAGGTGACTACTGAGGTGACTACTGTGGTGACTACTGAGGTGACTACTGTGGTGACAACTGTGGTGACTACTGAGGTGACTACTGTGGTGACTACCGAGGTAACTACTGTGGTGACTACTGAGGTGACTACTGTGGCGACTACTGAGGCGACTACTGAGGTGACTACCGAGGTGACTACTGAGGTGACTACCGAGGTGACTACTGAGGTGACTACTGTGGTGACTACTGATGGTGACTACTGTGGTGACTACTGAGGTGACTACTGTGGTGACTACTGTGACGACTACTGAGGTGACTACTGTGGTGACTACTGTGGTGACTACTGAGGTGACTACTGAGGTGACTACTGTGGTGACTACTGAGGTGACTACTGAGGTGACTACTGTGGCGACTACTGAGGTGACTACTGTGGTGACTACTGTGGTGACTACTGAGGTGACTACTGTGGTGACTACTGTGGTGACTCCTGAAGAAGGCTACTCCACTACACACATACAACATGACTACTACTGCTACATGTTTACTACACACATACAACACTACACGTTTACTACACGTTTACTACATGTTTACTAAACACAATACTACACGTTAATAAGGAAAGAGGTTGACCGGAAACAGCTGTGGTTAAATCTAATGACGTACGTCAGACTCATATTTCAACTGTCTTACTGAGAGGAGTGTGTGTGTTTCAGGAGCACAGCACCTATTCCTACGAGACGACTCCCTGCAGTGAGTCTGACTCCACCAGCTCGATCTGTCTGGACTACCCTCCGTCCTCCCCTACCTGCCCCCTCCCCTGCCCCCCTGCTGACAGGAGAAACAGGAAGACTAGCGACATACTGCCCTTCACGTCCCTCTCAGGTAACACCACTACACACTCCCACACACCACTACACACACACTCACCCACACCACTGCATATACTGACACCACAACACACAATGACACCACTACACACATTGACACCACTACACACATTGACACCACAACACACACTGACACCACTACACACACTGACACCACAACACACTGACACCACAACACACACTGACACCACAACACCTACTGACACCACAACACACACTGACACCACTACATACTGACACTACTACAGACTGACACCACTACATACTGACACCACTACAGACTGACACCACTACATACTGACACCACTACATACTGACACCACTACAGACTGACACCACTACAGACTGACACCACTACATACTGACACCACTACATACTGACACCACTACAGACTGACACCACACCACACCACACACTGACACCACAACACCACATCCTTACTCACCAGTGACCCCTGTCTCTCACTCTTCTATCAGACCCACGTCCCATCCAGCCACCCACACACCAACCCTAATAACGAAGAAACACTAATAAATAATGATGTACTTACTTCCTGTTTCCTACCCCCGCGCACTGACAGGAAAGAGGAAGGAGCGTCTGTTTCCACTTCCTGTTTGAGATGCTTCAGACTCCCTCCATGCGGAGCTGCATCTGGTGGGTCCAGTCGTCCTCCGGCATGTTCCAGTTCTCCTCCCAGAACAAAGAGCGTCTGGCCCAGCTGTGGGGCCGCAGGAAGGGCAACCGCAAGACCATGACGTACCAGAAGATGGCACGAGCTCTCAGGAACTACAGCCGAACAGGAGAGATCTGTAAAGTGAAGAGGAAGCTGACATACCAGTTCAGTGAGGGAACACTGAGGGGGCTGCAGGGAGCATGTTAGGGAGGGCGAGTAGGAGGAACACATGCTAGCACAGTTACCTGGCAGGACACAAAGATAAATACTGAGTATTTGTAGGAGGAAGTGGAAGAGAAGGAGGAGGAGGAAGAGGAAGAGGAGGAGGAGGAGGAAAAGGGGGAGGAGGAGGAAGAAGAAGAGGAGGAGGAGGAAGAAGAGGGGGAGGAGGAGGAAGAAGAGGAGGAGGAAGAAGAGGGGGAGCAGGAGGAGGAGGAGGAGGAGGAAGAAGAGGGGGAGGAGCAACATGACCCCTAACCCTTAACCCTTCTGTCGTCAACATGTAGGCGCCATGTAGAAGCTAGGGAACGGCTCTTCAGCGGGAACAGAAGGGACAAGCCTTTGAACATTATTTGTAAATCTGAGGATTGTCAATATATGAAAACTACTTCATAAGTAGAGTTTGAATGAATCTCGAATGGCACTGATTATATAATACACCTAATTAAGAAAATGTCGGATCGGATGATATATTTTTCTACGCTTTCTTTATGTTTTAAATTTTGTCTTTAATCGTGTTTGATAAACTGGTTGAGAGAAGATCCATGTGTTTGGAAAGAAAGTTTTAAACCATTTGTCTTTTTGTCCTGTGATTTCAATAAAATGTCTGGTATCTGCCCTCATACTGTGCTGTAGAGAGATCTGATACAGCTACTCACTGCAGGCATGCACGTAGACACACCCAGTCAGTTCCCACCGGGCTGTATGCAAAGCAACCAGAAAGACCAAACCGCCACAACAACAGTCTGGTTAATGAATAACAGCACCAGCGAGGAAAAGTAACTCAACACAACCTCTACACCAGTGGAGGCTGCTGAGGAGAGGACGGCTCATCATAATGGCTGGAATGGAGTCAATGGAATGGCATCAACCAAATGAAAACCAGGTGTTTGTGTTTGATGCCATTCCATTCACTCCGTTCCAGCCATTATGATGAGCCGTCCTCCCCTCAGCAGCCTCCACTGCTGTACACACACCTACTCACTCACTCACTCACTCACTCACTCACTCACTCACTCACTCACTTACTCACTCACTCACTCACTCACTCACTCACTCACCTACTCACTCACTCACTCACTCACTCACTCACTCACTCACTCACTCATAGAGGAGAAAAAAGAAGGTTCTTGTTACATGATGTACGCTTGCGCTCTTATTTAATATTATCTATAATATTATATATTATATTATATTATATCTGTAACTCTTCATGCAAATGAAGAAAGTAACCAGGCTACTACCTCATATTTAAATAGCCGACAACGTGACTCTCATATTAAAACGCTCACACACATACAATTCCAGTAAAAGTCCACACCCACTCTGATGTCTCACCTCAGCCTGCTCTCCTGTCTACGGCCTGACTGTACCCAGAGAGGTCTACGGTCTGACTGTACCCAGAGAGGAAGAGGTCTACGGTCTGACTGTACCCAGAGAGGTCTACGGTCTGACTGTACCCAGAGAGGTCTACGGTCTGACTGTACCCAGAGAGGTCTACGGTCTGACTGTACCCAGAGAGGTCTACGGTCTGACTGTACCCAGAGAGGTCTACGGTCTGACTGTACCCAGAGAGGTCTACGGTCTGACTGTACCCAGAGAGGTCTACGGTCTGACTGTACCCAGAGAGGTCTACGGTCTGACTGTACCCAGAGAGGAAGAGGTCTACGGCCTGACTGTACCCAGAGAGGAAGAGGTCTACGGTCTGACTGTACCCAGAGAGGAAGAGGTCTACGGCCTGACTGTACCCAGAGAGGAAGAGGTCTACGGCCTGACTGTACCCAGAGAGGAAGAGGTCTACGGTCTGACTGTACCCAGAGAGGAAGAGGTCTACGGCCTGACTGTACCCAGAGAGGAAGAGGTCTACGGTCTGACTGTACCCAGAGAGGAAGAGGTCTACGGCCTGATTGTACCCAGAGAGGTCTACGGTCTGACTGTACCCAGAGAGGAAGAGGTCTACGGCCTGACTGTACCCAGAGAGGAAGAGGTCTACGGCCTGACTGTACCCAGAGAGGAAGAGGTCTACGGTCTGACTGTACCCAGAGAGGTCTACGGTCTGACTGTACCCAGAGAGGAAGAGGTCTACGGCCTGACTGTACCCAGAGAGGTCTACGGCCTGACTGTACCCAGAGAGGAAGAGGTCTACGGTCTGACTGTACCCAGAGAGGAAGAGGTCTACGGTCTGACTGTACCCAGAGAGGAAGAATTGAATAGATCATCGTTGCCACATTTTGTTGTGTTACAGAATTTCACCTGTCAAATTATTTTTTATTATGAAGTTTGCCGTAGTTCCCCAGAACAGTTGAGCCAGTCAGGTGTTTGTAAATAGCAGAATTAGTGAGTAGGCATTCTCTAACGGAAATGTGCAAATGCATGCTTGAAAGCGCAAATAGGATCTCATTAGCTCGTGCTTGGCTCCGCCCACCTCCTTGCATGTTCTGCCCACTATGATTCATTTGCTCCCTTTAGAAACAACAGGCTGTGGTGTATATTGGCTTAGTTATAAACATCTTTGCTGATACTCTCTTCCTCTTCTATAGTATTATGGCGGGCCGCAATCAAGCATTAGAGGTTCATAACGCCACCTACTGGAGTATGTAGTCAATCACAGCTTACAGACCAAATGAATAAAGAAACGGAACCCTCCTACCTAATCCTGTAGTACTAAGAAAAGAAAAACGAGCCCTACTCAACCCCAATTTCAGACTTTGCCCAACCCTTTCAAATTATAAAAAAAAGTTGTGGGTGGGGATTTCTCATAAATATTCATTTTGGGGTGGGTAAGCATAGTTGTGCCTGATCCCAACACTTTGTCACTAAAGCATACTTACCAGAAGTCCACTGGTGCGCTTTAATATTAAAATAATATGCATCGTGAGCAAAGATGGCGCTGGACAGTTACCTCTCAGTGGTAAGGCGCAGAGTTCCTGACATCTATAATTGACACTTGCGGTGTAAGTTCAAAACCCAACGGGGTGCAATATATATATATCTGCCCCATGTGGGATTAGAATTCTTAGCCCACCCATCAGTCATAACGGTTGGGGAAAATACAAGGAGTTGATATGACCATTATTGTCATCTATTTCTTGTTACGATGGATGTAGCTGCGATTATAAATGTATAACCCTCAATGTGGTTCTCTGTAGCTCAGCTGGTAGAGCACGGTGCTTGTAACGCCAAGGTAGTGGGTTCGATCCCCGGGACCGCCCATACGTAAAAATGTCTGCACGCGTGACTGTAAGTCGCTTTGGATAAAAGCGTCTGCTAAATGGCATATTATTATTATATGTTTTTTTTCATACCGAACCTCTTTCTTGAGATGACATAGAGACACATTCTCAAGGTGCCTCAACATCATATAATTTCAATGGTAGAGTTGAACCGCTAGGGGCAAAAAGAGCTAGATTTACTACTGAAAATACCTAAATATATCACTTTTGCAACGAACTGTCAAAATCAAGACCAGAATTTACATGTTTTACTATAATAAGCCTGAAACGTCTGGTTTTCGATGATCTGGGATGATGGAGTTGATGTGTGTCATGACCAGCCTTTCAAAGCACTTCATCATTACAGATGTGAGTGCTACAGGGCGATAGGCAGGTTACCTTGGAGATCTGGGGAAAAGGGACCGTGGTGGTCAGCTTGAAACATGTTGGGGTTACAGACAGGGACAAGGAGAGGTTGAAAATGTCAGTGAAGACACTTGCCAGCTGGTCTGGCATGCTTTGAGAACGCGCCCTGGTATTCCGTCTTTCCTGGCGGTCTTGCGAGTGTTAACCTGTTTAAAAGTTTTACTCACATCGGCCACGGAGAGCAAGATCACACAGTCATCCGGAACAACAGGGGCTTTCACGCGAGACTCAGTGTTGTATTCCTCGAAGCATTTGGCTCGTTTATGCGTTCTGCATCGTCTATGAATTGTTATTGATGAAGCCCGTGACTGATGCTGTCGGATGAATCCCGGAACCAGTCTGTAAAACAGTCTTGTAGCCTCGTGTCCTCTACATCTGCGGTTTCTTGTTTGTTTATGGTCCAATACAGTTGAGTGCCAGAGTGGTGTTGGCTTGTGGAGGGACGTACACAGCCGTGATGATTACGGATGTTAACTCTCCTGGTAGATAACAGGGTCTACAGCTTACCATGAGCTATTCTATATCAGGTGAGCAAAAAGGTTGAGATTTCCTTCACACTAGAAACAGCACACCAGTTGTTGATTATGAAGAGGAGCACGAATATCAATTAAATATCAGTTCAATTTAGTTTTAAAGCCCTTTTGGCAACCTGGTCTACTATAGAAGGCTGGGACTCCTGGTCTACTATAGAAGGCTGGGACTCCTGGTCTACTATAGAAGGCTGGGACTCCTGGTCTACTATAGAGGGCTGGGACTCCTGGTCTACTATAGAAGGCTGGGACTCCTGTCTACTATAGAAGGCTGGGACTCCTGGTCTACTATAGAGGCTGGGACTCCTGGTCTACTATAGAGGGCTGGGACTCCTGGTCTACTATAGAAGTGCTGGGACTCCTGGTCTACTATAGAAGGCTGGGACTCCTGGTCTACTATAGAGGGCTGGGACTCCTGGTTCGACTATAGAAGGCTTGGGACTCCTGGTCTACTATAGAAGGCTGGGACTCCTGGTCTACTATAGAAGGCTGGACTCCTGGTCTACTTATAGAAGGCTGGACCTGGTCTACTATAGAAGGCTGGGACTCCTGTCTACTATAGAAGGCTGGGGACTCCTGGTCTACTATAGAAGGCTGTGGACCCTGGTCTACTATAGAGGGCTGGGACTCCTGGTCTACTATAGAAGGCTGGGACTCCTGGTCTACTATAGAAGGCTGGGACTCATGGTTCTACTATAGAAGGCTGGGACTCCTGGTCTACTATAGAAGGCTGGGACTCCTGGTCTACTATAGAAGGCTGGGGACTCCTGGCTACTAAGAAGGCTGGGACTCCTGGTCTACTATAGAAGGGTGGGACTCCTGGTCTACTATAGAAGGCTGGGACTCCTGGTCTACTATAGAAGGTGGGACTCCTGGTCTACTATAGAAGGCTGGGACTCCTGGTCTACTATAGAAGGCTGGGACTCCTGGTCTACTATAGAAGGCTTGGGACTCCTGGTCTAATATGGCTACTAAGGAGGCTGGGACTCCTGGTCTACTATAGAAGGCTGGGACTCCTGGTCTACTATAGAAGGCTGGGACTCCTGGTCTACTATAGAAGGCTGGGACTCCTGGTCTACTATAGAAGGCTGGGACTCCTGGTCTACTATAGAAGGCTGGGACTCCTGGTCTACTATAGAAGGCTGGGACTCCTGGTCTACTATAGAAGGCTGGGACTCCTGGTCTACTATAGAAGGCTGGGACTCCTGGTCTACTATAGAAGGCTGGGACTCCTGGTCTACTATAGAAGGCTGGGACTCCTGGTCTACTATAGAAGGCTGGGACTCCTGGTCTACTATAGAAGGCTGGGACTCCTGGTCTACTATAGAAGGCTGGGACTCCTGGTCTACTATAGAAGGCTGGGACTCCTGGTCTACTATAGAAGGCTGGGACTCCTGGTCTACTATAGAAGGCTGGGACTCCTGGTCTACTATAGAAGGCTGGGACTCCTGGTCTACTATAGAAGGCTGGGACTCCTGGTCTACTATAGAAGGCTGGGACTCCTGGTCTACTATAGAAGGCTGGGACTCCTGGTCTACTATAGAAGGCTGGGACTCCTGGTCTACTATAGAAGGCTGGGACTCCTGGTCTACTATAGAAGGCTGGGACTCCTGGTCTACTATAGAAGTGGGATCCTGGTCTATGGGAACTCCTGGTCTACTATAGAAGGCTGGGACTCCTGGTCTACTATAGAAGGCTGGGACTCTGGTCTACTATAGAAGGCTGGGACTCCTGGTCTACTATAGAAGGCTGGGACTCCTGGTCTACTATAGAAGGCTGGGACTCCTGGTCTACTATAGAAGGCTGGGACTCCTGGTCTACTATAGAAGGCTGGGACTCCTGGTCTACTATAGAAGGCTGGGACTCCTGGTCTACTATAGAAGGCTGGGACTCCTGGTCTACTATAGAAGGCTGGGACTCCTGGTCTACTATAGAAGGCTGGGACTCCTGGTCTACTATAGAAGGCTGGGACTCCTGGTCTACTATAGAAGGCTGGGACTCCTGGTCTACTATAGAAGGCTGGGACTCCTGGTCTACTATAGAAGGCTGGGACTCCTGGTCTACTATAGAAGGCTGGGACTCCTGGTCTACTATAGAAGGCTGGGACTCCTGGTCTACTATAGAAGGCTGGGACTCCTGGTCTACTATAGAAGGCTGGGACTCCTGGTCTACTATAGAAGGCTGGGACTCCTGGTCTACTATAGAAGGCTGGGACTCCTGGTCTACTATAGAAGGCTGGGACTCCTGGTCTACTATAGAAGGCTGGGACTCCTGGTCTACTATAGAAGGCTGGGATTCCTGGTCTACTATAGAAGGCTGGGACTCCTGGTCTACTATAGAAGGCTGGGACTCCTGGTCTACTATAGAAGGCTGGGACTCCTGGTCTAATATAGAAGGCTGGGACTCCTGGTCTACTATAGAGGGCTGGGACTCCTGGTCTACTATAGAAGGCTGGGACTCCTGGTCTACTATAGAAGGCTGGGACTCCTGGTCTACTATAGAAGGCTGGGACTCCTGGTCTACTATAGAAGGCTGGGACTCCTGGTCTACTAGAGAAGGCTGGGACTCCTGGTCTACTATAGAAGGCTGGGACTCCTGGTCTACTATAGAAGGCTGGGACTCCTGGTCTACTATAGAAGGCTGGGACTCCTGGTCTACTATAGAAGGCTGGGACTCCTGGTCTACTATAGAGGGCTGGGACTCCTGGTCTACTATAGAAGGCTGGGACTCCTGGTCTACTATAGAAGGCTGGGACTCCTGGTCTACTATAGAAGGCTGGGACTCCTGGTCTACTAGAGAAGGCTGGGACTCCTGGTCTACTATAGAGGGCTGGGACTCCTGGTCTACTATAGAAGGCTGGGACTCCTGGTCTACTATAGAAGGCTGGGACTCCTGGTCTACTATAGAAGGCTGGGACTCAGCAGAATCACACTACTACACTCAGTCTCCCGATTCTCCATAATAACATTAATGCCTCCAATAGTAGGTCACTCCTATTAGATTTACAGGATTATAAGCTATTCAATACAGAGAGGGAATGTGAGCACACTATAATTCTGACAGGTTGAACATCCTCCACCCACTGGAGGGCTGCTTCTATCACCATCAGAGTATACAGACAGTTCATCTGCTAGTCTTCGACACATCAAGTTCAGGACTCCTACTCCTATACAACCATTATCTGGGTCCTTGGAGCCATCTGTAAAAATCGGTAGAGGGGTGGCCAGTCCTCTTCTGGCTGTGCTGGGTGAAGATTATAACAGTACATGGCCATTAAGGCCAGATTTCTATCCAAGATGTTCAAACGTTCATAGATGACCAGCAGGGTCAAATAATAATCACAGTGGTTGGGAGCCATTTATTATGTTCAACATAGGAGGGCCAAGCACAGGAAGTAGCTCTTTCAGTATTTTAGTTGGAATAGGGTCCAGTATGTAGCTTGAAGGTTAAGAGTCCATGACTATTTTCATGAATGTGTCAAGCTCTATAGGAGAAAGTCCTGCCTCCAGCTGTTTGCTTAGAAATTCTTGGGACAGTAAGGAGGCCTGCGTCTTGTGACTGTAGCGTATGTGAAGGTATGTACGGCAGGACCAAATCAGAGAGATAGGTAGGAGCAAGTCTTTGTAATGCTTTGTAGGTTAGCAGTAAAACCTTGAAATCAGTCCTAGCCTTAACAGGAAGCCAGTGTAGAAAGGCTAGCACTGGAGTAATATGATCACATCTTTGGGTTCTAGTCAGGATTCTAGCAGCCGTGTTTAGCACTAACTGAAGTTTATTTAGTGCTTTATCCGGGTAGCCGGAGAGTAGAGCATTGCAGTAGTCCAATCTAGAAGTGACAAAAGCATGGATTAGCTTTTCTGCATCATTTTTGGACAACAATTTTCAGATTTCTGTTACGAAGATGGAAAAAAGCTGTCCTTGAAATATTCTTGATATGTTTGTCAAAAGAGAGATCAGGGTCCAGAGTAACGCCGAGGTCCTTCACAGTTTTATTTGAGACGACTGTACAACCATCAAGATTAATAGTCAGATCCGACAGCAGATCTCTTTGTTTCTTGGGACCTAGAACTAGCATCTCTGTTTTGTCTGAGTTTAAAAGTAAAACATTTGCCGCCATCCACTTCCTTATGTCTGAAACACAGGCTTCCAGGGAAGGCAATTTTTTGGCTTCACCATGTTTCATCGAAACATAGCAATTAAAGTTAACATTATATTTCCGAATGACATCACCAAGAGGTAAAATATATAGTGAAAACAATAGTGGTCCTAAAACGGAACCTTGAGGAACAACGAAACGTACAATTGATTTGTCAGAGGACAAACCATCCACAGAGACGAACTGATATCTTTCTGACAGATAAGATCTAAACCAGGCAAGAACTTGTCTGTGTAGACCAATTAGGGTTTCCAATCTCTCCAAAAGAATGTGGTGATCGATGGTTTCAAAAGCAGCACTAAGGTCTAGGAGCACGAGGACAGATGCAGAGCCTTGGTCTGACGCCATTAAAAGGTAATTTACCACCTTCACGAGTGCAGTGTCAGTGCTATGATGGGGTCTAAAACCAGACTGAAGCATTTCTTATACATTATTTGTCTTCAGGAAGGCAGTGAGTTGCTGCACAACAGCTTTTTCCTAAATGTTGAGAGGAATGGGAGATTCGATATAGGCCGATAGTTTTTTACATTTTCTGGGTCAAGGTTTGGCTTTTTCAAGAGATGCTTTATTACTGCCACTTTTATTGAGTTTGGTTCACATCCAGTGGATAGGGAGCCTTTAATTATGTTCAACATAGGAGGGCCAAGCACAGGAAGTAGCTCTTTCAGTAGTGTAGTTGGAATAGGGTCCAGTATGTAGCTTGAAGGTTTAGAGTCCATTACTATTTTCATGAATGTGTCAAGAGATACAGGATTTCAAAATGTGAGTGTCTCCATTGATCCCAGGTCCTGGCAGTTTTGTGCAGACTCAGGACAGCTGAGCTTTGGAGAAATACGCAGAATTTGCTTTCCAATGATCATGATCTTTTCGTCGAAGAAGTTCATGAATTCATCACTGCTGAAGTGAAAGTCATCCTCTCTTGGGGAATGCTGCTTTTTAGTTAGCTTTGTGACAGTATCAAATATAATGATTAATTATCCTCAATTAGGTTGGAATAATAGGGTGATCGAGCAGCAGTGAGGGCTCTTCGATATTGCTCTGTACTTTCTTTCCAAGCTAGTAGGAAGATTTCCAGTTTGGTGGAGCGCCATTTCCGTTCCAATTTTCTGGAGGCTCGGGTATTTTCTGTATACCAGGGAGCTAGTTTCTTGTGACAAATGTTTTTAGTTTTTAGAGGTGCGACTGCATCTAGGGTTTTACGCAAGTTTAAATGTAGATCCTCAGTTAGGTCATTAACTGATTTTTGTACTCTGACGTCCTTGGGTAGGTGGAGGGAGTCTGGAAGGGCATCTACGAATCTTTGTGTTGTCCGAGAATTTATAGCACGGCTTTTGATGTTCCTTGGTTGGGGTCTGAGCAGATTATTTGTTGCGATTGCAAACGTAATAAGATGGTGGTCCGATAGTCCAGGGTTATGAGGAAAAACATTTAGATCCACAATATTTATTCCACGGGACAAAACTAGATCCAGGGTATGACTGTGGCAATGAGTAGGTCCGGAGACATGTTGGACAAAACCAAATGAGTCGATGATGGCTCCGAAAGCTTTGGTCAGAGAGGTGACCAAGAACCCGATTGTCACTCTGACAGAGTGCCAGAGTTCCTCTGTGGAGATGGAAGAACCTTCCAGAAGGACAACAGTCTCTGCAGCACTCCAGCAATCAGGCCTTTATGGTAGAGTGGCCAGACAGAAGCCACTCCTCAGTAAAAGGCACATGACAGCCCACTTGGAGTTTGCCAAAAGGCCCCTAAAGACTCTCAGACCATGAGAAACAAGATTCTCTGGTCTGATGAAACCAAGATTGAACTCTTTGGCCTGAATGCCAAGCTTCACGTCTGGAGGAAACCTGGCACCATCCCTACGGTGAAGCATGGTGGTGGCAGCATTATGCTGAGGGGATGTTTTTCAGCGGCAGGGACTGGGAGACTAGTCAGGATCGAGGGAAAGATTAACAGAGCAAAGTACAGAGAGATCTGCTCCAGAGCGCTCAGGACCTCAGACTGGGGCGAAGGTTCACCTTCCAACAGGACAATGACCCTAAGCACACAGCCAAGACAACGCAGGAGTGACGTCGGGACAAGTCTCTGAATGTCCCTGAGTGGCCCAGCCAGAGCCCGGACTTGAACCCGATCGAACATCTCTGGAGAGACCTGAAAGTAGCTGTGCAGCGACGCTCCCCATCCAACCTGACAGACCTTGAGAGGATCTGCAGAGAAGAAAGGGAGAAACTCCCCAAATACAGGTGTGCCAAGCTTGTAGCGTAATACCCAAGAAGACTTGAGGCTGTAAACACTGCCAAAGGTGCTTCAACAAGTAAAGGGTAAAGCCTCTGAATACGTATGTGAATGTTTTATTTAATTTTTGTATTTTTAATACATTTGCAAAATGTTCTAAAAACGTGTTTTTGCTTTGTCATTATGGGGTGTTGTGTATGGATTGATTAGGGGGGGAAATAATTTCATACATTTTAGAATAAGGCTGTAATCTAACAAAATGTGGAAAAAGTCAAGGGGTCTGAATACTTTCAAAATGCACTGTATGTATTCCATATACAGTGATTCACGTCGGGGTCATTTATTTGACCTTGGAACAAACCAACATTTAATGCAAATGTCACTTAAACATGAACAAATATGAATCATTGGTGATATACCGGAGGGGATTTCTGCTGTTTTAAGGGCTCCTAACCAACTGTGCTATTTTGTAGGTTTTTTCGCATTGTTTATAACTTATTTTGTACATAATGTTTCTGCCACCGTCTCTTATGACCGAAAATAGCTTCTGTATATCTGAACAGCGATTACTCACCTCGAACTGGACGAAGAGTTTTCCGTTAATGAGTCCGACGCAAAGAATATACAGTTGAAGTCGGAAGTTTCCATACACCTTAGCCAAATACATTTAAACTCAGTTTTTCACAATTAATGACATTTAATCCTAGTAAAAATTCCCTGTCTTAGGTCAGTTAGGATCACCACTTTATTTTAGGAATGTGAAATGTCAGAATAATAGTAGAGAAAATGATTTATTTCAGCTTTTATTTATTTCATCACATTCCCAGTGGGTCAGATGTTTACATACACTCAATTAGTATTTGGTAGCATTGCCTTTAAATTGTTTAACTTGGGTCAAACGTTTCGGGTAGCCTTCCACAAGCTTCCCACAATAAGTTAGGTGAATTTTGGCCCATTCCTCCTGACAGAGCTGGTGTAACTGAGTCAGGTTTGTAGGCCTCCTTGCTCGCACATGCTTTTTCAGTTCTGCCCACACATTTTCTATAGGATTGAGGTCAGGGCTTTATGATGGCCACTCCAATACCTTGACTTTGTTGTCCTTAAGCCATTTTGCCACAACTTTGGATGTATGCTTGGGGTCATTGTCCATTTGGAAGACCCATTTGCGACCAAGCTTTAACTTCCTGACTGATGTCTTGAGATGTTGCTTTAATATATCCACATACATTTCCTTCCTCGTGATGACATCTATTTTGTGAAGTGCACCAGTCCCTCCTGCAGCAAAGCACTCCCACAGCATGATGCTGCCACCCCCGTGCTTCACGGTTGGGATGGTGTTCTTCAGCTTGCAAGCGTCCCCCTTTTTCCTCCAAACATAACGATGGTCATTATGGCCAAACAGTTATATTTTTGTTTCATCAGACCAGAGGACATTTCTCCAAAAAGTACGATCTTTGTCCCCATGTGTAGTTGCAAAACCGTAGTCTGGCTTTTTTATGGCGGTTTTGGAGCAGTGGCTTCTTCCTTGCTGAGCGGCCTTTCAGGTTATGTCGATATAGGACTCGTTTTACTGTGGATATAGATACTTTTGTACCTGTTTCCTCCAGCATCTTCACAAGGTCCTTTGCTGTTGTTCTGGGATTGATTAGCACTTTTCGCACCAAAGCACGTTCATCTCTAGGAGACAGAACGCGTCTCCTTCCTGAGCGGTATGACGGCTGCGTGGTCCCATGGTGTTTATACTTGCATACTATTTTTTTTTTTATGACGTTATACTTTTACAGTAACACCAACATGAGGAACAGACTCAGTTCCTGCCCAGCAACAGAGACTGATAGTTCATCCTAGTCGGAATGGGGGGGCCGAGTCGTAGGGTATAAATATGCGACCAGTATGGTGCTTTTGCAAAAAACTAGTGTGTGAATAAATGTAGCTTGAGCATTTCTCTGAGTCCGTCTGGATTCTCGTACCAGAAATTAGAACCTAGCAATGCTGTTACATCAAATATCAACATTTAAAGGAGATGTATCTACTGCTTGGCTAGTTCCACCTGAGCCATTGGCTTAATCCTATCCTTTAACTTGGATTTTTGGTTGAGATGGAGACCTGAATCCAACATATCATTTGATAACTGGTCAACAAGTTAATAGGCTATTTACTGTATTGCAAAAGTGATATTGAATTGTGTTTGGTTGTCAACGCAACAAAATATCAACATTTCCTTGGATAGTTCCATCTGAACCACTGAGTCTGGCCTTTAATTTAATTTTGTCTACAGATTAATAACTGATATGTCGGATTCACATTTCCATTTCAACCAAAAATCTAAGTTATTTAATAAAGACCAAATTAAACAAAATATATCTTTAAATGTATTTCAAATACAGTTTGATTTAATCATATGTTTTCACTTAGATTTTTGGTTGAAATTGAGACGTGATTCCAACATATTCATTACTAACTTGAAGCTTGAAACCCTAGGCCTATATGTATTGTTTATTTTTAGTTGAAGCCTGGGTTGAATTGAAACAATACCTGTTGATGACTTCCCTAATGTTATACAGGCCTATTTAGCATTATTGATGATACATGATTGATACATTTAATTTTCTCTGTTAAACCTACCCTTTGGAATGACATTGATAGCAACAGTGAATACGTTAAGTGGAGATTTCTCAACAATCATTCTCAGGATCTGACGTTGTTTCAAAGGTACAAATTCAACATATTTTATACAAGATGGTTGAAATTTCATCCTCAAAACAACAGTTTACGTTGATGACTTTCTAGTCCAATGTATTTTCCATGTCACAATACGTTCACAAATTAAGTTGAAACAATTTTGCTGAGTTACCGTTCATATAAGGAAATCAGTCAATTTGAAATGAATTCATTAGGCCCTAATCTATGGATTTCCCGATTGGCCAGGGGAGCAGCCACGGGCCCAGCCACTGGGGAGCCGGAGCCAGGCCCAGCCACTGGGGAGCCGGAGCCAGGCCCAGCCACTGGGGAGCCAGGCCCAGCCACTGGGGAGCCAGGCCCACCCACTGGGGAGCCAGGCCCAGCCACTGGGGAGCCAGGCCCAGCCACTGGGGAGCCAGGCCCAACCACTGGGGAGCCAGGCCCAGCCACTGGGGAGCCGGAGCCAGGCCCAGCCATTGGGGGAGCCAGGCCCACCCACTGGGGGAGCCGGAGCCAGGCCCAGCCATTGGGGGAGCCAGGCCCAGCCACTGGGGGAGCCGGAGCCAGGCCCAGCCATTGGGGGAGCCAGGCCCAGCCACTGGGGGAGCCGGAGCCAGGCCCAGCCATTGGGGGAGCCAGGCCCACCCACTGGGGAGCCAGGCCCAGCCACTGGGGAGCCAGGCCCAACCACTGGGGGAGCCGGAGCCAGGCCCAGCCATTGGGGGAGCCAGGCCCACCCACTGGGGGAGCCGGAGCCAGGCCCAGCCACTGGGGAGCCAGGCCCAGCCACTGGGGGAGCCGGAGCCAGGCCCAGCCATTGGGGGAGCCAGGCCCACCCACTGGGGGAGCCGGAGCCAGGCCCAGCCATTGGGGGAGCCAGGCCCAGCCACTGGGGGAGCCGGAGCCAGGCCCAGCCATTGGGGGAGCCAGGCCCAGCCACTGGGGGAGCCGGAGCCAGGCCCAGCCATTGGGGGAGCCAGGCCCAGCCACTGGGGAGCCAGGCCCAACCACTGGGGAGCCAGGCCCAGCAACTGGGGAGCCGGAGCCAGGCCCAGCCACTGGGGGAGCCAGGCCCAACCACTGGGGAGCCAGGCCCACCCACTGGGGAGCCAGGCCCAACCACTGGGGAGCCAGGCCCAGCCACTGGGGAACCAGGCCCAGCCACTGGGGAGCCAGGCCCACCCACAGGGGAGCCAGGCCCAGCCTATCAGAATGAGTTTTTCCCTACAAAAGTGCTTTATTACAGACAATCCCGCAGGTGAAGAAGCCGGATGTAGAGGTCCTGGGCTGGCGTGGTTACACGTGGTCTGCGGTTGTGAGGCCGGTTGGACGTACTGCCAAATTCTCTAAAGTGATGTTTGAGGTAGCTTATGGTAGAGAAATTAACATTCAATTCTCTGGCAACAGCTCTGGTGGACGTTCCTGCAATCAGCCTGCCAATTGCACACTCCCTCAAAACTTGAGACATCTGTGGCATTGTGTTGTGTGACAAAAGTGCACATTTTAGATTGGCCTTTTATTGTCCCCAGCACAAGGTGCACCTGTGTAATGATCATGCTGTTTAATCAGCTTCTTCATATGCCACACCTGTCAGGTGGATGGATTATCTTGGCAAAGGAAAATGCTCACTAACATGGATGTAAACACATTTGTGCACAAAATTTGAGAGAAATAAGCATTTTGTGCGTATGGAACATTTCTGAGATCTTTCATTTCAGTTTATGAAACATGGGACCAACACTTTACATGTTGCGTTTATATTTTTATTTAGTATATTTAACAGTCCTATGGATTGGGGGTAGACGCTGTTCAGGGTCCTGTTGGTTCCAGACTTAGTGCATCGGTACCGCTTGCCGTGCGGTAGCAGAGAGAACAGTCTATGACTTCGGTGGCTGGCGTCTTTGACAATTTTTAGGGCCTTCCTCTGACACCACCAGGTATAGAGGTCCTGGGTGGCAGGAAGCTTGGCCCCAGTGATGTACTGGGCTGTACGCACTACCCTCTGTAGCGCCTTACGGTCGGATGCCAAGCAGTTGCCATACCAGGCGGTGATGCAGCCAGTCAAGATGCTCTCGATGGTGCAGCTGTAGAACTTTTTGAGGATCTGAGGGCCCATGCCAAATCTTTTCAACCTCCTGAGGGGGACGAGGCCGTCTTCACACTATGTTGGTGTGTGTTGAACATGAAACACTACATGACCAGCAGTATGTGGACACCTGCTTGTCGAACATCTCATTCCAAAATCATGGGCATTAATATGGAGTTGGTCCCCCCTTTGCTGCTATAACAGCCTCCACTCTTCTGGGAAGGCTTTCCACTAGATGTTGGAACATTGCTGTGAGGACTTGCTTCCATTCAGCCACAAGAGCATTAGTGAGGTCGGGCACTGATGTTGGGCGATTAGGCCTGGCTCGCAGTCGGCGTTCCAATTCATCCCAAAGGTGTTCGATGGGGTTGAGGACAGGGCTCTGTGAAAGCCAGTCAAGTTCTTCCACACCGATCTCGACAAACCATTTCTGTATGGACCTCGCTTTGTACACGGGGGCATTGTCATGCTGAAATAGGAAAGGGCCTTCCCAAATTGTTGTCACAAATTTGGAAGCACAGAATCGTCTAGATTGTTATTGTATGCTGTAGCGTTAAGATTTCCCTTCACTGGAACTAAGCGGCCTAGTCCGAACCATGAAAAACAGCCCCAGACCATTATTCCTCCTCCACCAAACTTTACAGTTGGCACTATGCATTCAGGCAGGTTGCATTCTCCTGGCATCCGCCAAACCCAGAATTGTCCTTCGGACTGCCAGATGGTGAAGCGTGATTCATCACTCCATAGAACGCGCTTCCACTGCTCCAGAGTCCAATGGCGGCGAGCTTTACACCACTCCAGCCGACGCTTGGCATTGCACATGGTGATCTTAGGCTTGTGTGTGGCTGCTCGGCCATGGAAACCCATTTCATGAAGCTCCCGGCGAACAGTTCCTGTGCTGACGTTGCTTCCAGAGGTAGTTTGGAACTCGGGAGTGAGTGTTGCAACCGAGGACAGACGATTTTTACGCGCTTCAGCACTCGGCAGTCCCATTCTGTGAGCTTGTGTGGCCTGCCACTTCGTGGCTGAGCCGTTGTTGCTCCTAGACGTTTCCACTTCACAATAACAGCCCTTCCAGTTGACCGGGGCAGCTCTAGCAGGGCAGACATTTGACCAACTGACTTGTTGGAAAGGTGGCATCCTATGACGGTGCCACGTTGAAAGTCACTGAGCTCTTCAGTAAGGCCATTCTACTGCCAATGTTTGTCTATGGAGATCACATGGCTGTGTGCTCGATTTAATACACCGGTCAGCAACGGATGTGGCAAAAGATGGCGGAATCCACTAATTTGAAAGGGTGCCCACATACTTTTGTATATATAGTGTTTATCGATGCTAATGCTAACTGTAAAGTAGTGAGTGACCATTTTAGAAAATCATGGGACATATAGTCTTTGTTTGCATGCTATTTTATGTCAATCATATTGCTGCTATAGTCTATAACTGATGCGTCGTGGTCTTATGCTGCCATCTATTGGAAATATTTAGCATTTAAAAGTGATGAATTCACAGCAGACCATAAAGACATTATACAGCAGCTGAGAAATAACGAATATCTTTCTTAGTAATTCAAGAGATTAGTCTCAAACCTGCCCAACGCCAACTGGAGGTTACTAGGGTTACACCCAGTTCAAACCAAATTTGAAATAAAAAAATAAAAAACGTTACTTGTTTATCAAGTGCCTTGCAATAATAAATACCATAAAATAAATACTTTTTTTTTTTTTTTACAGCAAATACTTACCTAGGTTTTGATAAAAAAATTACAATAAATGCTATTTAGTACTATAATGGTATATACTAACATAATATTATTACTAAAATTGTTTCTGAAAGTGTTGCAGGCTACCATACCCTCGAATTAGGGTTATGGCTAGGGTTACTGTCTGTTCAGGGTTAGGGTTAAGGCTAAAATCGGCTATACCTAAGCTTTTTAAGGGATATATCTAGGGTTAGGTTAGGTTTAGGTTTAGGGGTTTTGTATGGGTTAATAGCTCTCTTGCTTCTCCCCGTGGCTACTACGTACCTCATTCAGGACACTCGCTGGGCTCATAATCTGAGGTAGCAACTGCGTCAGATCTACAAATCAATGAGCTAGACCCATCCATTTAGTTAGACCCATCCATTTAGTTAGACCCATCCATTTAGTTAGACCCATCCATTTAGTTAGACCCGTCCATTTAGTTAGACCCATCCATTTAGTTAGACCCATCCATTTAGTTAGACCCATCCATTTAGTTAGACCCATCCATTTAGTTAGACCCATCCATTTAGTTAGACCCATCCATTTAGTTAGACCCATCCATTTAGTTAGACCCATCCATTTAGTTAGACCCATCCATTTAGTTTGCAACTCAGTGAACCTGCGCAGCATACGCTCAATTAGTGAACCGATAGTGTGGTGGAAGAGCCAAGATGAAGTGAACTTAAGGAAATATTCAGGGGATGTAGTATTTCATGATGTATTTCGATTCCTTAAACGAGACGATAATATTGGGTAGGATTTAGACCTTCCCTGTCTCTGGTCGTCACTCCAGTCCAGTTTGTGGCGGTAATGCACCTTAAAGTTGGTTGGTTGCCAACCGCCATATAAATTCCACAGAAGCATGTTAAGAAGGTGGACTTTTGTAACGTTTATTAATTTGGTTATCAACTGCACAGTGCAAACGGAGAGGAAATCGGGGAAAATAAGTATAATTGTGAGTGCGGCTGAGCATTTTTTGGGACTCAGGGACTTTTCAGCATTACAAGGAATCCTGTCGATGAATGCTCCGTCCCCTCCCCTTCCCACAATGCAACATATTATTTTAGTTTTGTTTCAATACCCCGTACAGTAGGTGGCGACAATACACCAATAGGTGTAGTCTGCCATTAAACGAAGAAGAAGAAGAAGAAGAAGAAGAAGAATAAATAGTTTGGGATATGCGAAGATGGCGGAAGTGGATGCTGAGTTCGAATTAAGCAGCGTGTCGAGCAGAGTTGGTGAAGACGAATGTTCTGAATGGACAATTGTACCAACTAAAACTGTAACAAAAAGGAGATTGTCTAAAACTGGAGTGGAGGATACATGTGTAAATTATAATGAGTCGCTTCTTGTTTGGATGCGTTTCCTGAGTAAGGATGTATATGTGGGAAACCCGTTTGACGTGTCAAATGGTGAAGGATGCACTGGGAAAAGCGGAGTCTGTCAGAGTGACCAGGAGTGGTCTGATTTTAATTCATTGTATTTCTGAAGAGCAGAGGAAGATTGCAGTGGGGCTCAAAATAATCCGGACAACAGAAGTTTTGTGTTTTGAACTTCGGCGTAGAGCACCCGTCAAAGGAGTCATCTCAGGTGTGACGACGGATGTTCAGGTTGAATATCTGAAGAGAATTCCTGGTGTGGTTGGTGCCCGGCGTCTGACCCGCTGGGTGAATGGAGAAAAAGAAGAAAGTCTGTCGGTCCTGTTGTTTTTTTGATAAAGAGCAAATACATACACATGTGGAGCTTGGTTATGTAAGATACGCCGTAAGAGCTTTCGTCCCCAAACCACTGCAGTGTAAGAACTGTAAAAGGATGTTTCAAGTGTGTGCAGACGGACAGAGGATACTGAAGAACGGTGTGTAGAAGGACGACGGTGTTGCAATTGTGGTGGGGATGATGATCCCGAGTTCCTGGAGTGCCCTGTAAGGGTGAAAGAAATTGAGATGGCAAAAGTTAGTGGTCCATCGAATCTCCTATGCGGAGGCGATTAAAATAATTGAGAAAATAAGTGATGCTAGTGAAGATATGGTAGTGGATACTCCACAGCCTGTAGTAAATGTTTGCTCCCAGATAAAAGATACCCTGTGTGTTAAAAGGTGGATTTTGTTGCGTTCATTGCCACAGTTATAAAGTCTCAAAGAAGTCTAAGAAATTTGACATTATTGTGGCTGCGGCAGAAATGTTTTTGGGGCTCAAGGATTTTACATCTGAAGACTTGCAAGGGGTACTGGCGCTGGAAGACCCGCCCTCCCAGGGTTCCCCTTGAGCCTCTGTAGGGATCAGAGCTGTTTTATTTTGTAACAGAAAACTTGATTTATTTATTTGTTATTTTTTTTCATTTTTGGGAAATCGTGTTTCCATCCCGAACAGTAGAGGGCGGGATGCACATAAAATTGTGCGATCGCCCAATATATGATAGAAGAAGAAATGATCTCCCACAGTGCGGAAGCAGAAAGGGAGATTCCTGGTGCAGGTTAGCCGAGCTCTGTCGTTTTGACAGCTAGCTACGTTAGAAGGATGTCAGAACTAACGCTGGAAATTATTTGATCAGATTTGAATAGAAATACAACCTAGAAGTGGTGTCAGTTGCGGAAATACGCTTGGTCTGTCACAATCAACCAGAGCTAGCTAACTAACGTTAGCCTGATTAACGCCAACTAGCTACGTAAACAGAGCTAACGTTAGCAGAGAAAAGGTAAGGTTTCTTCATGTTAGCTAAACAACTAGTTACACATGTGTTTAGTTAAAGTCATGTCGTTGGCTGCCGCTGTTGTGCTAACTAGCTGACGTGATTGGCATGGCTAGCGTAGCCTGAATTAGCCATGTAGCTAGCCACACCATGTTAGTCTAGCTAACCGTAGCCTGAATTAGCCATGTAGCTAGCCACACCATGTAAGTCTAGCTAACCTTAAAGAACCGTGTTGACAGCCATGTAGCTTTGAACATGAATCTGAACCTTACCAAACGAAAGTGGGTTACAGATAGCTTGGCTTATATGATATGACTGGTGGGCTTTATATGATATGACTGACTGGTGGGCTTTATATTTGATATGTGACTGGTGGGCTTTATATGATATGACTGGTGGGCTTTATATGATATGAACTGGTGGGCTTTATATGATATGACTGGTGGGCTTTATATGACCTGACTGGTGGGCTTTATATGATATGACCTGACTGGTGGGCTTTATATGATATGACTGGTGGGCTTTATATATATGGGCTGGTGGGCTTATATGGACTGGACTGGTGGGGGTTTATATGATATGACCTGACTGGTGGGCTTTATATGATATGACTGGTGGGCTTTATATGACCTGACTGGTGGGCTTTATATGATATGGACTGGTGGGCTTTATATGATATGACTGATGGTGGGCTTTATATGATATGACTGGTGGGCTTATATGACCTGACTGGTGGGCTTTATGATGACCTGACTGGTGGGCTTTATATGATATGAATGGTGGGCTTTATATGATACTGATGGTGGGCTTTATATGACCTGACTGGTGGGCTTTATATGATATGACTGGTGGGCTTTATATGATATGGACTGGTGGGTCTTTATGACCTGACTGGTGGGCTTTATTTATATGACTGGTGGGCTTTATATGACCTGACTGGTGGGGCTTTATATGGGTATGACCTGACTGGTGGGCTTTATATGATATGACTGATGGTGGGGTTTATATGATATGACCTGACTGGTGGGCTTTATATGATATGACTGGTGGGCTTTATATGATATGACCTGACTGGTGGGCTTTATATGATATGACTGGTGGGCTTTATATGACCTGACTGGTGGGCTTTATATGATATGACTGGTGGGCTTTATATGACCTGACTGGTGGGCTTTATATGATATGACTGGTGGGCTTTATATGACCTGACTGGTGGGCTTTATATGATATGACCTGACTGGTGGGCTTTATATGATATGACTGGTGGGCTTTATATGATATGACTGACTGGTGGGCTTTATATGATATGACTGGTGGGCTTTATATGATATGACCTGACTGGTGGGCTTTATATGATATGACTGGTGGGCTTTATATGATATGACTGGTGGGCTTTATATGACCTGACTGGTGGGCTTTATATGATATGACTGGTGGGCTTTATATGACCTGACTGGTGGGCTTTATATGATATGACTGTGGGCTTTATATGATATGACCTGACTGGTGGGCTTTATATGACCTGACTGGTGGGCTTTATATGATATGACCTGACTGGTGGGCTTTATATGACCTGACTGGTGGGCTTTATATGATATGACTGGTGGGCTTTATATGATATGACCTGACTGGTGGGCTTTATATGACCTGACTGGTGGGCTTTATATGATATGACTGGTGGGCTTTATATGATATGACTGGTGGGCTTTATATGACCTGACTGGTGGGCTTTATATGATATGACTGGTGGGCTTTATATGATATGACTGGTGGGCTTTATATGATATGACTGGTGGGCTTTATATGATATGACTGGTGGGCTTTATATGATATGACTGGTGGGCTTTATATGATATGACTGGTGGGCTTTATATGATGACTGGTGGGCTTTATATGACCTGACTGGTGGGCTTTATATGACCTGACTGGTGGGCTTTATATGATATGACTGGTGGGCTTTATATGATATGACTGGTGGGCTTTATATGATATGACCTGACTGGTGGGCTTTATATGATATGACTGGACTGGTGGGCTTTATATGATATGACTGGTGGGCTTTATATGATATGACTGGTGGGCTTAATGTGATGGTGGGCTTTATATGACCTGACTGGTGGGCTTATATGATATGACTGGTGGGCTTTATATGATAGATGGTGGGCTTTATATGATATGACTGGTGGGCTTTATTATGATATGACTGGTGGGCTTTATATGATATGACTGGTGGGCTTTATATGATATGACTGGTGGGCTTTTATGATGACCTGACTGGTGGGCTTTATATGATATGACCTGACTGGTGGGCTTTATATGATATGACTGGTGGGCTTTATATGATATGACTGGTGGGCTTTATATGATATGACCTGACTGGTGGGCTTTATATGATATGACCTGACTGGTGGGCTTTATATGATATGACTGGTGGGCTTTATATGATATGACCTGACTGGTGGGCTTTATATGATATGACCTGACTGGTGGGCTTTATATGATATGACCTGACTGGTGGGCTTTATATGATATGACTGGTGGGCTTTATATGATATGACTGGTGGGCTTTATATGATATGACTGGTGGGCTTTATATGACCTGACTGGTGGGCTTTATATG